GCGGGACAAAATGTGGGACACACACACACACACACACACACACACACACACACACGCACACACACAAACGCAGACAACCCCGTGACAACATGCGTTTTGTGACGCTGTTACACAGCACAGAACGCATAAAAACATGCCTGGAGGCATGGAGTGGGAAGAGCGACGGGGTTTATGGGGGCACTCTCCCCCATAAACCCGGTCGCTTTTTCCACTTCATGTCTCCAGGCGTGTTTTTTCTCCTTTGCACTCAATAATTCTAACCCTCGAGGTGGGGGAGGTGGTGGGGGGAGGGGAGTTGGTTGCTCCCGGGAGCTGTAACAAAGAAAGAGGTCGGGATTGGTGACTGGAAAAAATGTGGGGGTTTGAGGTGGGAGTTAGAAACAGGGCAGACTTATGGGTGGGGGAAAGAGAGGTCATTTGGGCTTGTGATGCTTAGCAAGAAAATTGATGCTGCGTTAATGCTGATAAGTCTGTGTACGACACCTGAAATAATAAGTCACCTAACCCCCCTCCCCTCCCCGTTCTCTTGTGCGGGACTGTATGTTTCGTAGCTCATCGCATACCAGTGATATATTGCTCGGTTCAGCCAAGCCGAACTGAGCAAGGGGTGAAACACAGGCAGATTACCACCGCTAAATGTTCGTTTTGTCGAACTGCCTTCCTTTCTTATTCCTGGTCTTTGTACTAGCTCCCTCCCTTGTTCACCTTCTCCACTAGCCATAGCGGGTCCAGACGGGGGAGGGGTGGGCGATGGGCATTTTCCCTCCTCCCTCCTCCTCTCCACTCAGCTGTACAGGCAGCAGTGCTACAGGAGTGTGGGTGTAAAGCTAAAACAGAAGAAAGCTATCTTCCGCACTTCCCATCGCCCCCGTCCCCCAGGATCGTTGCCAGTAGAAGCCCTACCCGTGGCCCCCTTCCCCAGAAGAAGTCCGCCCTGGATCCGACTATGCCACTAGCATGTTGACAGTCACTCTCTTCTTTTCTGCCGGACTACCTCAATCGAATTGATTACTAATATCCCCCTCTTCTAAATTCATTTTCCTTCCGTTTTTTTCTTTTTTTTAATTTTAATTTAACAGCATTTTATTAGTAATTGTGTTTTTTTGTGTTTTCTATGTGTGCGTGACTCGTCTTGTGAAGTTACCAGATTACAGGTGCAACGATGAAGTACGTAGCAGCGTATGTGCTCTGTCAAATGGGTGGTAGTCAGTCGCCGACAGCCAAGGACATCGAAAGGGTGCTGGGTAAGTGACCCCCACCGAGATCCCCAACGTTTGCCTTTTCGTCTGCGCAGTGGGAAAAATTTGACCACTGTCTGCGCTCCTTGGACCTCTAAGCTCCATCTGCTGAGTGACCCCCGCCCCGACAGCTGCATCTGCTGACCGCTCAGGCATTCTCACAGATTCAGGCTAGTTTCAGCAGCATGCAAATTCGCGTCCAAAAAAGTAACAGAGGCACTGATATGCATTAAAAAAATGCATAAAATTGTACTAAAAAAAGTTGGATAAACAGGAATGTTTTGGTCCTATTCGGCGCCACAACTGGAACTCGTCAGTGGAACTTCGGATGGGCGCATGCAAGGGCAGCGTTTCCTCACATCTTGCTGCTTGGCGCTATTTGCTGGCGGTTTAACTCAAGTTTGCTCTGTGACATAGGCATCTCAGCAAAACCGGCTTGAGCACCTTGCTGGCAAACAAGTACGAGGTGTTCACTTTTCGCGTCGATGTGCCGGGAGGTACGGGGTGTTCACTTTTCATCAGATTCGCTCAGGTTCT